AGGGAAAGATGTCAGAGCAGCTGCTGCTGTTCTGTTTCTGCCATGTGTGAGGTAGATGGCAGGTGCACTTTGCATCTCACCTAGATACAAAAGCAGTGAGGCCATGGGCTGAAACTGAAGCCCCTGCTCTTACCTCTGAGGTGCTGCTTCTCACCCCTTGCACAACTAGTCCAGGGAAACTGAGAAAGAAGCTAACATAGCCATCATGCACAGGGTCTGCAGCTCTCAGGTACGTGCTTGGGGAATGTGGGGAAAAGCAGGCACTGCACAGGTGCACACAGCAACCCTTGAGTGCTCTGAACTCCCTCAAAGTAAAACTGCTTTTGTCCTCTAGAAGCATTGGTGTATCTCCCTCCTTGGAGCTCTTGCCATGTTCAGGGACAACCCTTAAACCACCAGCCCCTGCTGGCATCTAATAAAACAGGAAAGACAGATGTCTTTTTATATATATATACATATTATTACTGCACCTCGTATTAAAAAACTTCTGGAACTTCTTTCTCCTTAGAAATTCAAAGGAACTTTTGCTGTGAGCAGAGACCAGGAGTGGGATGCAGAAGAAATGAGATTGAGGATGGTGACCTTTACACAGTGTTTGTAATAGGGTCACCAGCACTTCCTGTGGCAATGACAGCTCTCTGGTAATCTTAGTTTGAAAGAGATCTAAGACACATTAAGTCACAGCTCTGGAACTAGTACCTGTTAGGAGGCTGACAGTTATTCCCACAATTACTGTGGTAAGTGTCCCAATTGCGCTGAAGTAGAGGTAAGACAAGGAATAAAACTCTGCTATGGCTGGCCTGAAAAAGAGCAAAAAAAGTGTTCATCTCTGCTTTCCTATTGCAACTTGAAAACGTTTTCTGTTTCCAGACAGCAAATAGAGTTACTTCTGAACCTTGTAGACTTCTACCAGTGACCTAGTAGTCTTGAACTACCTCTATAGTAACACATTTACTGAAAATTTATTCAGAAATTTGCAGGACAAGTTCCTTTATGTGGGAGGAGACTATGCATGGGACAGAGCAGGTAAAAAAGGACAGTCCTGTCTCTGCTGGGAATCTATTGCAGAGAGGAGCACTTCTGCTATCCAGATGAAGAGATAGCTTCTTTAGAAGGGCAGACACGCACACAAAGAAAAAGTAGGAATCAGCCATGTGCAGTTTTAAACAATCAGAAGGATAGGGCAACTATCACACCTCAGGTTATACTTTATTTTGTTCACCAGGGTATCTGTTGATTGTCCAGTTATCTCAGGTGTGAGGACTAGGAATCCCTAGAAATGTGTGTTTGGCTTCTTTTTGTTCCTGCTGTTCCCTGTATTGCCATTCATAACTGTCATACTTAATTGTGATTGTCCAAATTTAGACGCAATTGCAGAGGGGAGAAAATCCCTTATATTTTGCCCATCTGATGTATTATGGCCTTTTCTGAATTTCCTGAGTTGAACTGGTTTTCTGCACAGACAAGCTGTTGTAGGTGGAGCTGTTAAACTGGCAAATTGCCCTTTGACTGCCTACATCTTTAATTCACATGACAAACTGTGGAAGTTAATCCAATAACTATATATTTCATGCATTCTTGCTGATGCCAAATAAGGCATATCCAAGTCTTTAGACTCAAATATTGAACTAAAAGCTTTTCAGATCAATAGGAAGAGTCATTTTGACTTTTTTTCAGGGATAACTCAGACAAACTTCACTCTGACCAGAAAAAAAAATAAAAAAGCAAAATACAAGCACAGATAAATCTACTTCATGTCAAACAGCCTGGCAGGTAAATGAGGGAGAGAGAGCTACAGTGACCCAAATGCTAAGCATACATTCATGTTGCTTTAAAAAAATAAATGCTGAAATTGTATACCTTGGTTTGGCGACAGCAGTTACTCCTGTTGTCAAATTTAGTGAGGACATATTGCAGCCTGCAACCGAGAGGTGTAGTGGCTTGGTCCTGTTCCGGCTTGGAGGATAAATCTGAGATCCGATTCCAACCCAAAGGGAAACACAAAAGCCACTGAGGAGACCCACAAATGCACCCTGAAAAACCAAAATGAAAGTTGGATTTACATAACAAGCCAAAGGATATTTGAAAAAAACAACACCTAGATGAGTAGGAAACAGCCAAGATAATCTCAACTGTAGGCTCCATAGCAAAAATGAAATATACAGCTGGGGAGAAATGGGGAGTTCACTTCATTCCCCTTTTGGGAAATAAAATGTTTACTCACATCTCCTGAGCATACCTCTTTTTATTTTGCCACCATATCTTTACAGTCAAAGGATAGCTCAAGGATGTGAGGTATATAGGAGAAATGCTGCATTTTTTCAGGCCCTCCTTGAACAAACACAAAAGAGATTTTTCCTTTTTCATCATGTGATCTGTGTTTGCAAAGGCTCTTCTACTTCTGAGTGGGACTTTTTTGGCTGAGAGCTGGTGGTTTGTTTGATGTTTTTTTTAGTATATACATAAAATTTAAAACTGTAAAGAGGTAAAGGTTAGTGATCAGTAAGCCTCACTAAACAGCAATCCTGTCAGACTAACCCATGGACTATAATTCTAAGGTTCATCAAATAAATTTTTTAGGGAAAAGCTTTTTCATCTGGAAATGTTAATTTTACTATACAGAAGCATTCTCAGAACCTCCATTTCAGTCTGCAAATGCTTGGGCCCCATTTTCCAAGCCCCCCCTTTTGCTCAGACAAGGCAACATTTTCTGAGTCTACTGGCTATTAAGCCAGTCCCCTGCCCCTAAAACTGTGTTTTCCAGAAATCTTTGCCAAAGTTTCCTTTTTATTCAGATTTTTTCCTCCATCTGGACATGTAAATCTCTTAATGGAAATTCAAGTTCCTATACAGCTCTGTTCACTTCCTTGGAATTAGGAGGAAAAGAAGCAAGGGGAAATATTCACATGAAAAGTATCAAAGATATATCCCTTGCTGCCCAACATACAATTACTGGGGGGAGAGGGAGGGAAGGAGATGTCCAAAATTATTGACAAATTTTGGTCAAACAGGGCTTTAAATTTCTACTTACAAATTCATTTGCAAAGAAGACGAGGATTCCCAAGACAAACATTCCTAAAAGGGGGCCACCAATAATGCCAAAAATGCTGAGCGCTGCCTGAGGAAGAAAGACAGTTCTGCTATCAGATGCTGTGCAAGAAAGTTGACTCTAACATGGTAAGAAGTGGAGATGTTGAGAAGGGAATTATGAGGGTTTTTTAACTGGTGCGTACTCGCTCAGCAGGACTTAGTTCCATGGGTCCTTAAAGCAGAGGCTGAGCTACGGACTGTCTGAAGCCAGTACCCAACAAAGAATAAAAACTAATATCATAATGGTATCCAGCAATTATTTTCTGGCATAATTCAGTCTGGATCATCCAATATGGGCATGAAAAAGCATTTTGACACCTACCTGCAACATGGCTCCCAGGAGAGATGCCAGTGCAGCCATAGCAATGCATAGTAAACCAAACATCAGGCCTGTGTGAGAAAGGCAGAATGATGTGTGAATCTGCCCAAGTCTGAAAATCGCTAATAGAAATGTTTCTCTTTAACCCAGCATGGCCCCTGGCATCTCCAAAACAAACTTGCTAGCATCTGGGTTTTTTCCTAAGAGAGTATGAATTGGCCAAAAGGTCAGGTTTCTGTTTACATTAAGAGGAGATCATACAAACTTAACAAAATCCTCTTGCTGTGTATTACTGAAGATTAGTTACTAAATGGCCGCTGTGTGAATTAGCCACAGTGGCAACACCACACCTATGGTTGGTATTTCTCAGCTAATCTCCTGTGTCATTGTTTTTATTTTGAGGGAAAGACTTTTGCTTCTCAGTCTTTGCAGCAAGAAGATAAATGCTGGCAGATTCCTGGGAGCTGGCACCATGACAAAGAATATCCTGGGTCAAGAGGACACAGTGTCTCCTCCCAGGAACCATTAACACTGGCTTACTTGTTTTTTCCAGCCCTGTTGAGTTTCACTATACAAGCAATAGGTTAATCTCACTGTTTAATGTGATATGTCAGGCAACTCAAGGTGAGACCTACAACAATTTTGTCATAAACATTGTTTGCAGTAATGTTTTAAAAAACTGCTCTCTGGTGAAAATACTTAATGCTTGTCATCTGCCACCAGTCTACTGTGCTCACTGGTATGGGCTGTGAGACCATGTTGGGATTGTGGTTTTTCCATGCTTGCTACAAATGCTGTCTTAGGCTACACTTGCAGCTGGTCACTGACAGGACAACTAGCAGAAATGGCACTTGCAATTCAGCACTTCAAACCGTCTGCTTAACCTGAGCCTCTTCTTTGAGCTACATTAAACAGAGGACCTGAACAGACTCAGGTTCTGAGAGTTTAACAGAGAAGACAAAGTTTCTCAATCTCTGGATTGTTATTGGGAGTCAATGCTACTGCTTACATATCACTAAGGTTGAAAAGTTTGTTACAAAATGGTTTCCTAGGCTTCTCATTTTTGACAGCTGAAAGAAAAATAACAGCTGTTTCAGTCTCAGATAATTGGCTCTGTAGTATTGCAAATCAATAGTGAATACAGATGCAGTACATCTTTCCTGCTTAAAGATCACACAAGATGGCTTTTTTTATTTCTTTATGCTCACTTGATATAGTTTGTCCCCGATTCTGTGTAAACCTATGCAGCTAATCTTGTCTTGTCTCCCTCAAGTATTGAACCAAGGTAGTCCTGTTGGTGTGAATGTACTTACTCCTGACTTACACTGCCCTAAGCAAGAGAATGAATCAAGCCCTCACTTTCTAAAGGAAAAATGGAAAAGATATTTTCCAGACATACTCATTCCCATGGACATCCATGACAACTGCTTTTCAGAGAGGGATTTGAAGTATGGCTTAATTAGATCTTCGACAGTCACAGCAGCGAGAGCATTGATGCTGGAGGACACTGTGCTGCAGAAAGCAAGATTTATACTTTTTGTTTTAACTTACAAACTGAAATAATAGATAAGAGATGTTACTGGCAGACAGAAACTGCCACTGTCTAGAACAGTGACAGAAAACTAACATAACTGCTGTATTCATTGAAACAACTTATTATTCCAGGTGATGCAGTTATTAGCTCACAAAAAATGTTTAAAACAATTGTTATTAGTGAAGAAAAGGCAATTTTTTATTAAAAGATGGTCCTGGAGAAGTCAATGAAAATATCTATTACATTTGGCTAAGCAGTAAACACTACTGTTATATGTGTTAAATTACCTTAATGTCCCACTGTAGGCACAAGCCACAAAAAGCCCTGGCACTCCTGGAAAATCACCGAGAATATCCATCACTAGGTATGGCATTAGCTGAAAAATTCAGAGAATAAGAATTATTATAATCTTGCCCTAATTATTCTTTTTGCCACTGTACTATTTTGTTGTAAGGCTGGCATCCAGCCCAGCTGTTCTAATTTTGAATGTCCCACCTTGCACTTTTCATTGCTCTTCTACAGTGAAAACCAGTCCTAAACATCTACTTGAGATGCAGCAAAGTCTGTTGGGACCACCTGGTAGAGGTAAGCATGTAGCCATGCTGTCTGGCTTGGTTTCCAGTGGCAGTGGGATAGGAAGCTAGTGCTGGGTAGCAGGGAGCCTGCATTGTACATCATTCTGTTGGGTTCAGGTGCTGCAGTAGATGCTTCTGTCTGCTGTTGACTTTACAAAAATGTTTTTGGATACAGTTTAATAAGCTGAAGGTACCAGAGAAAATTTCCTTGTAATGGTAATGGTGTGCCATTTGTTGACCTTTGCAAGATAGGGGTGTTGGAAAGAGATAGGAATTTTATTATTTTCCTCCAGTGGAACATTTTTTTCCACAGACAAGTCAGTCTTTTTAGTATCTTGATTCCAGTTTCCACAGAAAGAATTTGACTGGCAGAAGCAACTTCATTTCCTTTGAGTTTCCACCTTGGCTTTCCATATCTCATTTTATTCTACCCTCAAGAACCAGGTGATCCTGCCTCAGGTAATCCCTTATCTGTGCTCTTCTCACCTTCCAGCTATTGTCCATAGGGCATTATCCAAAGCCTATGATTATCCCATTCATAAATGAAAAAATAGACTGGTATGTCCTCCTCATGCCCTGAATATGTTCATTCTATGAGCTCCCAGAGCTTTTGTTCCTCAGGTAAATCCTGTGTTCAGGGTCTGTTTAGCGAGAGGGCACCATTGCTTTACAAGGTGGTTTCTCTGCAGCACAGTACAGCACTGTTTGATTGCCCAGCTCTCCTCCAAAGGAGGGAAGGATGCACCAAAACTAGAGAAGAACT